TATTAATGTCCAACAACATAAAACCGAAATGTAATATGAAAGGTAGATGACTGCCCAAGGCAACTGAACATATTACATATTTTTCACTGTTTTATTATAAATTAGTTACACATTTCTGCTACTAATTCAGAAACAGCAAAGATCTTCTCCACTCGTTTTGAGAGGCTGTATTTTTGAAAAAATGCAGTTCTGGTTGCTATAGTGTAAAAATGTGTGTGTGTGTGTGTACCTCAGAGCTGGAAAAAGTGCACAAGAGGGCCACCAAGACTGGGGTCAAAGCACTCTTCGTATAAGAGAACACAGAAGAGAAGAGACTGGATTTATAACCCACCATTTACTACACAAGGGAGTCTCAGAGCGGCGTACAATCCCTTCCCCTCCCCACAACAGGCACCCTGGGAGGTGGGCGGGGCTCAGAAAGCTCTTTCGAGGACTGCTCCTGAGAGAACAGCTCTGAGAGAACTTGTGACTGACCCAAGGTCACACCAGCAGCTGCATGTGGAGGCGGAGTGGAGAATCAAACCCGGTTCTCCCAGTTTAAGAGTCCGCGCTCCTCACCATTACCCCAAACTGCATAAGGAGAGGCTAAAGAATCTGTGGCTTTTCCATTTAGAAAAAACACAGCTATGAGGAGGGGGACAGGGTTAAAATTATTCATGGGGTGGGGAAAATGGATAGAGAAAACTTTTTTCTCCCTCTGCCATAATACTGGAACTTGGGAGCACCAAATGCAGTTGATGGGCAACAGATTTAGGACAGAGACAAGAAAATGCTTCTTTATTCAGCAAGTCATTAAATAGTGGAATTCTCTACCCAGAGGACATAACATAGATGGGTTTTAAAACGGGACTGGACAGATTTATGGAGGAGAGGTTGAACAGTGGCTACTATCCATAGTGACTAAAACCTCCATATCCAGAGGCAGCCAGCCCCCAAATGCCGGTGGTCGGCCACGGTGTGAAACAAGACAGTGAACTAAACAGGCCACTGGTCTCACCCAGCAGGGCTTTTCTTACGTTCTTATGTACTGTGAAATTATAGCCCCTAAAACTAGATGGGATCTTGAATGTATTGAGGTTATCCAGTGTTTGAGTCCACAGAGAGAAAGTGATGCTTGACTGAGGAATGGACATAATTTCCTAGACAGAGATTTCTGTTCATCCCAATAGGCTATGACAAGTAGACCCTCCTTAGTATTTCTTTTTTTAAAAAAAACCACTCAAATCTTTACCTATTGAGTATACTCTATGTGAAACATTAGTAATTAATAATAACAGCAAGTGGGGGGGGATTTGCTATAACTAAATGTATGCTGATAGATCAAGATGGGCAGCCATGTTAATCTGTTTGTAGCAGTAGAAAAGAGCAACAGTCCAGTAACACTTTAAAGACTAACAACATTTTTGGCAGGGTATGAGCTTTCGTGAGTCACTGCACACTTCTTCAGATACAGCTAGAATGTAAGTCCATCTGTCCTATATATTGAAAAGTGGAGTGATTTCAGATGCCAAATGGCATTAGCAGGCAAATGACAATACCAGGTGTGACTGGATTAGGTGTGATATGCAGAGGGGTAGTAGGTGTGGAGAAATCAACATTGGTAATGAGACAGAAAACGTAGGTCACGATTCAGTTCAGAAGGCTGCATTGTCTTGAGCTTCATTATCAGCTGAAATTCAGCAGTCTCTCTTTCTAATCTCCCTTTGAAATTCCTTAGTAAGAGAACTGCTACTCTTAGGTCAACAACTGAATGTCCTGGAAGGTTAAAGTGTTCCCCCCGCTGGTTTTTGAATGTTATGGTTTCTAATGTCAGACTTGTGTCCATTAATTCTTTGTCATAGGGACTGGCCTGTTTGTTCAATGTAGAGGGTGGAAGGGCACTGCGGACCCGTGAAGGCATAAATGAAATCACATTAGAGGATGAGCAGGAGTAGGAACCTGAGATGGTCTAATTGATGTCGCTGGGTCCACTGATGGTCTTGCTAGGATCCATAGGAGAGCAAAGTTGGCATCTTGGTATATGCTGTAAGTATGTGCTGCAACTACGTTGAGAACTATCTTATCAAACGTTGTCTAAAATGCTGACTTTTTGAAAGAGAAATTTAATTCAGACAAAGATATGATAAGACATCACTCCATTTGTTTTATTATTATGCTCCTCTGACCAAAGGCCTTGAGCAAAATCAAAAACAAATACAAGATAAAATACAAAACAGAACAGTAAAATACAACATAGTGGATTAAAACTCATCTCTGTAACACCATAGAGAAAACACAAGTGCTAGAAATCTGGCAACAGAATGCATCCTTTATGGATTGGAGTCTGCCAGCAAAAAGAGATCACGCAGGATTAAACAGGCAGATGATATTTACTCAGGACAGGTGTAATCCAGAGGTCTCTGAGTAGCATCCGTCAATCACAGAATAAGAATCTGTGGTCTCTGTCACTCCGATAAGACATCACTCAAGGCTTCCTACCCTTGTCCTTCCAAGTCCTCTTGTGGACCAAAAATTAATTAACAGGAATCAGACAGTGAGTACAAATGGGCAGTTTTCACAGTGGAAGATGGAAAGCAGTGTGGTACCACAGGGCTCGGTACTAGGTCTGGTGCTTTTTAACTTGTTCATGAATGATTTGGAGTTGGGAGTAAGCAGTGAAGAGGCTACGTTTGTGGACGACACTGTTCAGGGTGGTGAGAACAGGGGAGGGTTGTGAGACGCTCCAGAGGGATCTGTCAAAGCTGGGCGAGTGGGTGTTATTGAGGCAAATGAGGCTCAATATGGGCAAGTGCAAAGTAATGCACATTGGAGCCAAAAACCCTAACTAGAAATATATGTTGATGGGGTCCAAACTGGCGGTAACTCACCAGACAAGAGACCTTGGAGTCATGTTAGATAACTCACTTGAGATGTTGACTCAGTGTGCGACTGCAATAAACAAGGAAAATGCTATGCTGGGACAAATGTCTGCCTGCCACGCGGAAGGTCCCAGGTTTATGTTGGAGCGAGCGACTCGGCATGCCTGGAAGGGGGGGGGGGCGCTATATCACTCTAAGGGTGTAGAGGTGTTATCTCCTTGAACTGATGCCTCTCTTTGTCTTAACCTGGGAGCTGCCCTCTGACCCCTCCTCCCTCTTTGTCCTCTCCCTCTCTGCACATGGCCTTCCATGGAGACACATGTCTCTGCAGGTCTCTCCTGTGGATACAATGCCCTCATCCTCCCACACACATGATGCCGGACAAGCTGGTCCTTTTTGATAGGGAAAGTACTCTTTAGATTAGGGTTCTCTCTGTCCTTTTGACTGCAACCCGAATGTGAACTGAATCAACTTGAATAAACGTAATTTTACCAGTTTTGCAATATACTTCTTGGGAGATTTATTTATTCACTGAACTCCGTATCATGCTTCTGGGCCGAGAAAAACTCAGCCAGTTTGGTGTAGTGGTTAAGAGCAGTGGACTTTAATCTGGAGAACTGCGTTTGATTCTGCACTCCTCCTCCACATGCAGCCAGCTGGGTGACCTTTGGTTAGTCACAAGTTCTCTGAGAGCTGTTCTCTCGAGGGCAGTTCTCTCAGAGCTCTCTCAGCCCCACCTACCTCACAGGGTGTCTGTTGTGGGGAGGGGAAGGGAAAGGAGATTGTAAACCGCTCTGAGACTCTGAGTGAAGGGCAGGGCATAAATCCAATCTCTTCTTCTTCTTCTTAACCAAATGTGAGGGCGATCTGGCTGTGTCATCTGTCACCCCATTGATCGCCAGGGTTGATTCGGCTGATCTGGCTGGCTAGGCGGGTGTCCCCTACCTCCCTCACTGCTCCATGTGCGTCCCTCCCGAAGCTGCGCACTCGGTCGAAGAGGACGACCATCCCAGATAGAAGGTCAAGGGTATACGATAGCTGCGCTCCCCTGCTAGAACCTCCAATAATTAAACTATATACATGATGACAATGAGTCCAACAACCTTTCAGATAAATAGTTAAGAAATGGCAATTCTGCAAACCTTTCATGAATAAAAGACAGCTCCATTACTGGCACGCTTGCATCTGTGTGACACGCACAAGAAACATTTCCAAGTTTAGAAGGTAATGGGGGGGGGAATGTGCAGATACTGCAGGGGGAAAGTCGCAGCCATCTTGGGTCTCCTAGCAACCTAATCTAAATAAGTCGTGATAAAAAATATTTCAGATATTTCCATTTCCTCTCAAATTTCTGGGTATCCCCCCCAAAGAAATCTGGGGGGACATTTTCCCCCCATGCCTTCAAAACTCTCTACCCTGAAGGCTCCTGAATCAAAACTCCCCAAAAGGGGTCCCTCTTATCAAGTCTCCGTCCTGCAGCCAGCACTCATCCACACCTCCAGATGGCGCCGTCTTCCTCACCCACCCCCGGAAGTAGGTCTTTGTTTCCATTTTTTTATCCCGCCTTTCTGCCCTTACAAAGGCCACTAAGGCAGCTAACATTGTAAGATGTACATGATAAAAATCACATTTTAAAACCATTAAAATCAACACCCTCAAACACACAGCATTAAAACAACTACAAAGCAGAGTTAAAATACACACAAAACATTAAAAACAGCAATTAAAGGAGATGGGAAAGGATGGGAAGGAGGGATCATGGAGGGAACGCTGAAGGGGAAAAAAAAGTATCCACCTGCCGGCAGAAGACAGCAGCAGAAGGCGAGAGATGGAGCTCCCCCCGGGGGGTGAGGGGAGAATTCCAGAGCTCTGGTGCCACGACCAAGAAGGCCCCCTCCCGGGTCGTCACTGCCTAGCCTCGGGAGGCAGCGGGCACCCGAAGCAGGGCCTCCGAAGATGACTGTAGTGGCCGCGCAGGTTCATGAGGGAGTAGGTGGTCCTCCTGGAACGGACGGAGGCGCTAAGAGGCTACACGACCCTACGGCAAACAGCGATACTGCGATCTTTGTGCTTTTTGCACTGCTTTTTGTGTCAATATGACATAATGGAATATTAGGCCAAACTCTACGCTAACCATCATACCTTTGGGTACCTCTTGCCCATCTGCCTCACTGGACCTTTGGCCGGGTCATTCAGACAAACCCCGGAAGACACCTTGGCTTCTTTGAGCGCTCTCTGGGTAGGTCCTTCCACTCCATCCTCTTTTTCATTCCTATGACCTGGTGTAAAACACAAAGCAGTTTGTGGTTAATATTTTCCACTGTTTGTATAAATTCAACCTATATTCAACAGGGTGTCCACTGTGGGGAGGGGAAGGGAAAGGAGTTTGTAAGCCGCTCTGAGACTCCGAGTGAACTGCGGTGTATCTCCTCCTCCTCCTCCTCCTCTTCATCACATGACCTTGTTTGTTTCCCATGGTAGCCACCTTGGGAATCAGCTGAAGTGAGAAGTGAAGTATATGTTTTAACAAAAATAAAACTAGACAGAACCCCTGCCAATGAAGAATGAGTCATATCTGAGTGAGAGGAGCTGCGACCACAACGTCCAAGTCTTGAACAGATTCAGCACGTTGCTAAAGAGACAGAAGGAGATTCACATGTGATGTCTTTTCCCGTGTTACATTACGTGGCTTTTTCGATACCCCGCAGCTGAAACATCGGATGCTTCCGTCCAGTGCAGTAACGACAGCAAAAGCCGTGATTGCAGAAAGTGCACATAAAAAGCTATCTGGATCAGGAAGTTTTATTTTAACAGGAAAAGCTATTAAAAAAACCCCTCACGTTTCAAGCACTGAAGGAGAGTGACATGGAATCACCAGTGCTGAACGAAACCACCTGGTGTTCTAGGTATTCCCCAGGTAATTTAATTCAACGTATTCTCCACGTGCTACAAAACGCATGATGGAAGCCACACTCAATACAGAAAGTTTAAAGACAGTGTTGAAAGGCAGAGATGTTCCGCCAGCCCTCTGGCTGAGCACAGCAATGGTTTCCAGCTAGCCTGGCTCCTTCCTTCCTTCCTTCTCTCCCCCGCGGGGAAAAAGGACACCAAGTTGTGTTCCTTTAATGTGCCATCTGTAAAATGTTCGCTGAATTGTTCAGGATGTTTTTAATGCTTTTAAACTTAAGAATGTTGTTATTCGGAAATGCTGTCACCCACCCTGAACCCTGCTGCACAGCGTAGGGTGGGCATAACAACAACTAGCCCAAAGGATGGTACTGGCCCCAAGAGTCGAAGAAGAAGAGGAGGAGGAGGAGGAGATTGGCTTTATACGCAGCCCTTCACTACCCAAGGGAGTCTCAGAGCGGCTTACAAACTCCTTTCCCTTCCCCTCTCCACGACAGACACCCTGTGAGGTAGGCGGGGCTGAGAAAGCTCTGACAGAAACTGCTCTTTTTCAAGGACAGCTCTAACAGGATTATGGCTTGCACAAGGTCATCCAGCAGGTGCAAGTGGAGGAGTGGGGCATCAAACCCAGTTCTCCCAGATTAGAGTCCACACACTTAACCACGACACCAAAGTGGCCCTTTGTGCCCAGCTACAGAGCAGAACTGTGAAGGTTCAAGGGTGCAAACGATGCCGTGATGGATGACCAACCTATTTATTTGACGGCAGGAGTGTAACAGAAGCTCCCCTACTTATTCATGGGAAAAACAAACCCAACAACCTAAGTAAATTACCCACAGCATCCAATATACTGGAAACTGTGGCTAATATTATTTTTCTGCCCTGTTTATAAAGTACCACCTGGAGCCTTCATTGGTCTCTCAGACTTCTCAAATGAGAGAATCCAGTAGCTGCAAATGCAGAGGCAGTCCTCGTGGCCGCCTGCGCTTCAGGCTCGAGCCTCCGCACTGTAGTCAAACACTTAATAGCACAAACTGGCTACTAGTTCAAAAGCCTCCAAGGAATGATTCCTTTTGTAAGGAACGGTATGCTTGGCTATTTAATCATCTTACCAAAGTTCTGGCACCTCTAGAAATGCCCTTTTGTGTGGGGCTCGTGAAGGGGGGGCACTGAGCGGCAGTCCCTCTTCACCCTCTTTTGGAGCCCCAGGTTCACCTCAGAAGGAATAACCATGACATGGGGGGGGGGGTTTGTAAAGATCACCTTTTTTGCATGATAAAAAATCCAATCTATTGTACATAATGTCGGATTAAGGGCATGCTCTTCCCATAACTTACCCCTCAAGCCTTCCTTTCCAGGGTCAGGGGAAGTACAATCATTCTAAAAGCCTGTGTATTGTCCTGACCTGGATAGCCCAGGCAAGCCCGATCCCATCAGATCTCGGAAGCTAAGCAGGGTCGGCCCTGGCAAGTGCTTGGATGGGAGACCTCCTTGGAATGCCAGAGCGGGAGGTGGGAGCAGGCTTCATTCAGCCCCCTCTCTGAATATCCTCCAGGCCCCCAGTAGGGGTCAGTCACCTGAGGTCGCCATGACTTTCAGGTGCGCACACACACTCACATGCACACACTCACAAGTGTGCGCATACACACACACATGGACACATTTAAAAATACGAAGAAAAAATAAAAGTCTGCATACTTAAAAACTGTTCTCGGTTTGGAAGTATGTGAAAAAGTGAAGAATTACAGTAATCAGATGGAAGTGCAT